AGCGCGTGGAGGGTTGGAGAAAATGGCAGATGGATATGAAATGACGGAAATACCCAACTTGGGAATCACGGTGCTACAGTACAGTGGGTAAGTAGTGGAAGGTAGTTGTCGAGTTCCACGCGCCAAGAATGGCTCAGAGTTTTTGGCAGAGCAGCAGCGCGCGGTGGCTACATTGTTCTCGTTCTCCTCGTTTTTTTGTTTTTTTTGTTTCTTTTTTTTTTGTTTTCTGTTTTTGGTCTAGAATACTTCAATTTGCAATTTTAGTTGGGGGTGAATTAACTTTATTGTAAACTGAAGTAAGTCTTCTCTACAAACCATAGTGTGAATATTCGACCACCTTATTACTGATATATATTTTTATATATCCATAAATTCGCTATCCATATTTTTATTATATTACAAAAAAATCGACAAAATATGAAAAATATTAATAAAATATCAATAAAATATACATAATATTAATATTAATCATTTTTTGTTTATTTAGAAATAGAATATTGTTTATTTATTAATTTAAATATTTTTTACGACTTTTTAATTTATCTACATTTTACAGAAATATCTATCGACATCAACACTGTATTGATCCTTTCATGAAATTAAGACATCGACATTTTCATCGATATCTACAATTAAAATCTTGTTATATCTAATTTAATCAGAAGACATTTTCGAGAATGAAACACATCTAATAATAAATAAAAAAATAGAAACATAAGCCACTCGAAAGATTTATATTCATTGTGAAAAGTTATAATGAAGTTGCAAAATTTTCGAGAATAAAACACAGCTGATAAGAGAAAAAAATAGAAACACAAGCCACTCGAAAGATTTATATTCATGGTACAGAGACTCCTCGAGATTTAGCTAACAATATTTTTATATATGAGGAGCAATTTATTGATCCATTTTTTTCTCTATCTTTTGCTTGTACTAGAAAAATAGTTTTCTTGAATGACTTGAAAGTTTTCAATTTTTTCTTTCTTAAATAATTATAATTAATTGTAAGTATTTTGTAGTTAAATGAAACTATTTTTGTAGGCGTTGATTTTTCTAATTGTATCCGATGTACTATATTTGAGTGTTGGTTATGTGGGAAACATAGTTTAAGGTACATATTATCATCTTAAAGATGGATAAATTTTTATTGTTTTATTTGCCTGATTTATTGGTGAGTTGGTTTGCAATTTTTAAATTTACTTTTGAAAATGCATTAATTACAACATTTATTCTCTACTGTAAATGGATGAAACTGAAAATATATATAGGGATAAAAATTTTATAAAAATGATTTTTTTTTTTCTAAAAAAAAAAAGAACCACCTTGGAAATTGTCTCTATTTAAATCTTCATTTTCTAATTTTTGGAAGTGTATTTTTATTTTTTATTTTTTTTTATCTTTTTGTTCTTTTGGAATATTCCCATAATATGATTATAGAACCAATAAACTGCTATTTCTTTTAATATTATGAATATATATGTAAACAATAAATTTAATGTGCATAAATCTCATAAAGCTTTAATCTTTACCAGAAATCTTGAAAATACTTTTGAAATTGAGTCTAAGGTAATTTCATAGCATTTTACATGAGATATATATCTATGTCATTCCGTCAAATTATAAATACTTGTAAGGGATATGTAAAAATTGTGTTTTGTCGTTTTTAATTATTTATTTACTATCCATAATTCATATAATTCATAGTTCTTAAAATATAAATTTATTTAAATATGTTATACTTTAAAATAAATAAATAAATTTTAAAACCATTGATTAAAATGAAAAAGTACAATTTTACTTTCGACAATCTTGTTTGTAAAAAACAAGTAACTACAAATTTGAAATTTAGCATAATTTACCTAAAATATTACAAAAATAGAAGTTCCAAAAAATATTTGCGCTAGCAAAAATTAGAACATATATTACATCTAATCAAAAACATATTAGTTAGATATAGTTAATCAAAATGTCTACCCAAGTGATTAATACATTTTAAAAAGTAGAGTATATTTTTCATTCTTTTTATTAAAATATGTTACATATATAATTACCTAAAATAAAAATAGAAACCTAATTAATTAAAGGTATTAATCGCACTACTTATTCAAATTCAAGGTTTAAATTGAAAGTTTAATGTTAAAATTCGCTGGCCCATCCAATATTCAAGCTAAAAAATTCAACTTTTACTATAAAAAAAATATCTATTTCTAAATATTTTATAAAATTAGACTACCCATTAAAATTTCCATTTTAAAAATACATTAAAATAACCAGATGTGTATAACCTTTAAAAAAGTAAAGTAAAAGTGTATACAAATTTAGACAATCTTTTGGAGATTAAAGAAAAGTAATGCGATTTTTTTTTCCAAATAAAAAAATAAAACAAAAAGTTGCACAATCTTTCCGAAGGGAGAATGTTGAAGGGGAAAAAAAAGGCCTTTTCGTAGAGAATTTTCGGGGTTGGTGGAGAAAAAATTTCTCTTCGTTCGAGACTTTTTTATTGTGGGCCACACATAATTGACCAAATTAAAGGTTTTTTTTTTTTTTTTTCCCTTTTCGCAACTTTTCTTTTCTTCTTTTTTTTTTCTCCTTTTTAATATAAGTATTTTAATAATATAACCTAATATTCTTTTTTTAATGCATAATTGTGGTCCTTAACTAGGATGTTGGATGCAGATGCCAAATATTCTACCTTTGAATCTAACACTGTCTGTAAAGTTAAGTTTAAAGAATGTTCTTCAAGCCTTCCTAGGTTTATGTTTTGAGTTAGAATCTTCCTTTTTCATAGTGTTGATGGAATGCTGGTTTTTGACTTACAAAACAATCGTAAGTAGTTGACGATATCAAAAGTTAGATATTGACTTAAATGATTAGCATTATTTATATCTCAATTCGTCCAAAGATTATTTTGTAGATGTGTCCGTTAGACATTAGGATTAACTTTGCTTGAAATGAATGTGGTATGGTGATTGGAAGATTATCGAATGTAAGTAACTAGGTATCAAAT